CAAAATGCGGTGCCGACATGGAGCTCTCCACCTGCTGCGCACGACACTGCTCCAAGGGGAAGCGCTGGGCCCGTCTCCCCAGAGAGAAAGTCCAGGGCGCGGATGCACGAGACGCGAGGTGCGAGTCTGAAGGGGCCCCAGGACACACAAATAAATGCACACAAATAAACATATTCCCAATATTTTCCCATATTTTCTGGGTTTCTGTCTTCCCCCCCACTTCCCATATGCTCCCATATTTGCTGGGGAATCGAGGATCAATTGTGTCTGTGTGCTTCTTTTCCTCCTGAGAGTCAACGTTCTGGCAGCGAGCTCGCGGAAAGATGCTGAAGGAAGGAGGGCGCTCGAAAGCGTGCCTGCGAGGCCCGCAAGATCTGTCAGCCATTCCCCCACAAAGGGATTGTCTCCACATGGTCTGGCGCCTCCAGGCCACCGCGCCTCGCCGACCATCCTCAAGATCAGCGGACGGAGCCCTGCGCGCGGCGGCCCGACCTGCGTGCTCTGCTCACGAGGGGCCTGGACGTGAAAGCCGAGGGCGCGAAGGGGGCAGAGGGAAGGCAGGAGGGCGTGGCTTTCCACGGTGCGCAGACGGCCTGTTGCTGCGCCTCGCGCCCAGTGTGCAGTTGGGAAGGGGAGGGGGCGGGAGGAAGGACGGGAAGGGCGGGAAGGGAGGAGGAACACGAGGCCGACGAGAACAAGGAGGGAGGAGGACGAGGACGAGGAGGGAGGGAAGGAGGCCGGGAGGGAGCGAAGAGCGAAGAGCGAAGAGGACGAGGACGTGGGACGGGAGGGGTGCCCGGCGGACGAGGCCGACGGGGAGGGGAGGGGAGCGAGGCGCACGAGGCCGAGGACGAGGGGGAGGGGCCCCGCCGCGCCGAGGCCGGCGCATCCTGAGGTAGTCCTTCAGGCTGTAGCACCCCATCTCCGTGACCAGGTACATCACGCCGTCGTCGGGGTCCGGGCCCGGCCTCGGCGGCGCGAGTGCGAGCGCCCCTCTTCGGCCCCGCGGTGCCGCGGGGCCGCGCCCGACTGGGGGCGGGGCGGGTCGGGCCACAGCCCCCCGTGAAGCAGTGTGGAGCCGCGTGCCCGTCCGGTCGGACCTCGTCGGACGGGCGAGCCTCTCCTTCGAGAGCATGCGACCCTTCGCGGCAGCCAAGCTGGAGAGCGTTCGAGGGTGCCCCCCCCCCTCCCCAACGCGGATGCGCGAGAGCAGCGAGCGGGGTGCGAGGAGCCTCAGGGCACTCTCCCCGAGCCGGCCTCGGTATGGTTGCCTGGGCCCGGCCGCACGCTCGCGGCGCCTCTCCTCGCGCATCTCTGGCCGCGGTGGCGAGGGGAGAGAGAAGAGACGGGAAGCGAGGGGGGGGGGGGCCGGCGCAGGCGCGGGGGGGGGAGGGGAGCGGGGCGGGGAGGGTCGGGGATGGACAGACCTCCCTTTAGTGAAACGTGGTTTAGTGAAACGACCTCCCTTTCGTAGAACGACCCCCGAGAGGGGAGGGCCCCGCGGATGCTGCAGACGCTGGGGGCGTTGGTTTGTTTGCCGTTTCCCAGCTGCCCTGATTCTCGGCCAACCGAGCGACGAGGGGGGGGAGACCTTGAGCCCGAACAGCAGCACCACAAGAACGGAAAGCAAAAACGGCATGACAAGACGGAGCCGAACCGCAAAGGGCGCGAACGAGAATCCCCAGACTGAAAAAACTGGCACATCAGCTGAACAAAAACGTAGAGCTTGGACACGTGAAACGAACGCCCCCAGCGTGGTTAACATCATCTAAGGGAAAGGGAGGAGGGGGCTGGAATGGACTAGAGTGGGAACCACGGCGGGTGGCAGGGGGAGGGAGAAGGGAGAGCGGGTGGAGAGGGGAGGGGTCAAGGGGGGGGTAGGAAGGCGGGACGGGGGAGAAGAGGGAAAGAGGGGGAGAGGGGGAGAGGGTTGGACGGGCACTGCAGAATGACTACCTACCAGACCACCCCAACCCAACCCGAAGATCCGAACTTAAGGTGGGGGGGGGTGCGGGTTCCATATGTGCTTTCTCAAGGTTCCCCGGCCCCCCCCCTGGAAATGGAGGGCAAATTGAGGCCTTCGGGTTGGGTTGGGGTGGTTTGGTGGGTGGTGACAGAAAGACCCCAAACAAAGACCCTCGCATGCGCCATCCAGACTTCAATGCCCTCGGCCCCAGCAGGAGGCCTTCAGCCCCACCGGCCCCACGCAGATTCTGGCCAGGAGGCTGCTGCCACGGGAAGGCGCCTCTACTGGGTGGCCAGGCGAAGCCAGCACCAGGCATGCAGGTTAGCAGCACGCCGCACATGCCCACAGACGCTGCCTGTCCGCTCCTAAGGAACGGCCCGGAGCCGCGGCAGCTCCGAAAACTGGGCAAGATGACCCGCTCGCTGTATGGCTGGGTCCGGCTCGCCCCGTCACCGATGCGGGGGCAAGGCCACGCTGCGATGCGCAGCCCCGCGGGGGAAGGCCGATGCACTCGGGAGAGAAATGTGGGGAACACCTGGTCTGATCCCAACAGCGAAAGAGCAGGCAGCGGTTCCAGGGCGGGCGCGGGAGAGCACCGCCGGGGCGCAGCCGGTGGGGCGCGGGCTGCGGCCGCGGGCGGGCGGGCTGCCGAGCCCCCGGGCGTGCCGGAAGCGTCCCGCGAGAAGTCGATCATCTGCGGTTGCGGGGGGCTCCCACGCGCCGGGCTCCGCTGGGCACACCGCGCCCGGGCCCTCGAGGGCCGTCGTCCTCCTCGCGTCCCTCCTCATCATCCTCCGGCTCCTCGCCATCCTCGCCGTCCCTGTCTTTCCCCACCTCCTCCTCCTCCTCCTCCTCCTCCTCCTCCTCCTCCTACTCATTATCCGTCTGATGCTTGCCCGCTTCACCATCAACATCATCATCAAGCTCGTACTCACCATCATCATGGTTCTTCTCCCCCTCCTCCTCCTCTTCTGCGCCCTCCTCCTCCTCCTCCTCCTCCTCCACTTCCTCCTCCTTCTCCGTCTTATCCTCCCCATTGCGTTCGCACATGGCGCCATTCGTGGTAGTTGGTTAGGGGGCAGGTCTTCGAGCCAGGCTGTGTGCTATTTCGGGGAGGGAGGAGAGGAGAGCGGAGAAAGACCGCAAGGCTACAATGGGGCTGCCACGAGTCTGTTGCTGCTTGCTGGAAGCGCCAGCCTGGGCGGACACATCTTGCCCCCCTAGACTCGACAGAGAGACGCGAACAGAAGGAACGAACAGCGACAATTGTTGCCTGGGCGAACGGTCGAGGGGAGTGAGTGCAACGGCCCGGCTGCAATGCGGGCGAGCAGTCTGAGGCTGAAAACAACACCGCGCCGAAAAGAGGGTGGGCTGCCGATTCCTCTGCCCAGCCGGCACGCTGCGACAGCTCTAGTGGCAGCGACAGGAGCGCATCCCCACGCGGTGGACAGCAGCAGCAAGAGCAGAAGAACGAAGACAGGCAGCAGACAGGAGCGGGGAGGACGAACGGGAAGGGAAACGGCGGCAGAGCAGGCCAGGCGGAGAGCAGCAGGGAGAGGGGCACCCTGCGCGCGTGTGCTCGTGTGCTTGCCTGGGTGCGCGCGCGTGTTTTGTCGCTGTGTGCCTGCGTGCCCACGCGTGCACATACCACTCCTTCTGCCCGTGCTTCCTTCCCGTATGCTGCACACCTGCGGTTCCGGCTGCTGCGCACGCACCGCCCCGTGGCTTCACGATCGCGCCGGTCTTGCGGCCCGCACCCACACACCTGCGACTCTCTCGCGCCTTCAGCTACAGGTTTGTTCGGAAGGGCCGCCTGTGGGACTGTCTGAGGCCCTCATACCGCTGCATGTGCATGTTGGGTCTCGACATATATATATATATATATACACAAATATATACACATATATAAATATGTGTATATATATACATATACATGGTAGACCTGGCTCGTTTTTTCTTCGCGGCGGGTTGTGCGTGTTTCGTGCTCCTTTTCTGTCCAGTTTGTCTCTGCGGCTTTACGCTTTGCTCAGCTTGCATGTTCGAGCGGGCCTTCGAGGCAAGATTGCAATTGCTAGGTTCGCTATTCGTACACATTCTTGATCGCGACCGTGGTGCCACATCGCGGGCGAAGGTACAAGTGTGCGCGCGTGTACGTCTCACAAGGATCAACGCCATGCGGTGCAAGAGCTTTCAGAAGAGGGGCCAACCAGGACAGCAATCTCTTACCCTCGGGCTGTGTCTGCCGTGACAGGGGAGGCCTGTTGGCGGCGAGGGCCTGCAACCTTCAAGACTCAAGCTGCGTGCCCTTCAACCGTCCCTCGTCTGGTTGCGTGATAATCGCTCGTTCGACAAATGACAGGACTGCCAATGTTGGACATAAACTGGCAACACTCTGTAACTAGATGTTTGGTCCGGAGACACGCTTACATCGCAGAGCTGGGGTGCGCTGGGAAGGTGCACGTCACCTAACTTGTGGCCGCCACGAGCGCCGCCGCGACCTCAAACGAGACAAGAAAGATCCGAGGTCTGGGTTGGGGCCAGATCTCACGCGTCGACCGTCTCCTTCCCGCTCAGCCTACAGTCAAAAACCCAAACAAGGACGCGCGGTAAGGACGCAAGACCCTTGGAAGCCGAAGTTGGGATTTTTGGGGCGGCGGACGACGAAAACCCCAAGGGTGCCCTGACAAGCGGGCGAGCGAAAGAGGCCAAGGACGAGCCGCAGGAGCAAGGAGGAGCAAGCACGCAAGGGCGCCCTGGGCAAAGTCGCGCGTCCTTAGGAGGGTCTTTGACTGCACGGTATCCTGCGCGCCTGCATGAACAGCTTGGAGGGCTTCGCCATGTCCAGCTGCGCATGCCACAGCGGGCCCGCCTTCTCCTGGCTCGACAGCACCTTTTGCCCCCGGGGGCAGGCGCGCGGGCTCGCGGGCCAGGCTCTGGGCAGGCAGGGGCGGTCGTCGCCTTCGTCGTCGTCGTCGTCGTCGTCGCCTTCGTCGTCGTCGTCGTCGTCGTCGTCGTCGTCGTCGTCGTCGCCTTCGTCGTCGTCGTCGTCGTGGTCAGCAGTGCATGCTGGCGTCATCGCACCTTAGCACCGCAAGCTTCGAACCAACGCGTCCTCCATGTCGTTTCGCGGGACTCTGCGCCTCGTTCACCCTTGCACGCGCGCGCACGATACAAACACTCCCAAGCTTGTGCACACACGGCCTGCTCAAATGCACATGCACACAAACACACGCGTGCAAAAGGACACACAGAGAATCCCGCGCCCACGATTGGGCGCGCAGACGCCCACCCACCCATTTGAAACACGCGTATAAGAAACTCATGCCGCACATGTGCACAAAAACACACGCACGAACGTACACATTCATACACACTCCTGCACATGTGTTCACTCATGTTTTCTGTGAGTATAAATGTGTTTGCACACATGCATGCACAACGCACACACGTACGTATACAGGTTCACGGAAAACAGATTTCGCACAACAGCGCACACACATAAAAACTATATACGCCCACAGATTCCCCAAACCGTGCTCGCACGGGGGGGGGTGCAGTCTTTGCGAAGGCCAAGGAGACAAATCATTTGCACGTTGGTTCCCACATCGCATTCCATTACTGCTGCATGTCGCACACATTCGGTCAGAACATATGCCGCTCCAGTGTGCACATCTGGACTGACTGATGCATGGTTTGCAGCTTCATAAAGGCTCCCCAACACAAGATAATGGAAAACACTCGAACGCAACGGTACGTGCAGTTTCACGTGCGTGTGGAAATGTATGTGACGTGTGCACAACTGAGCGACGACCAAAGGGGTCTTACGCGAGATGGCATGGCAACCCTACGCGGCGGCTTGCGCGGGCCGCCAGTGCGGCATGCCACAATTGGAGACGAGGGCACCTGCGCGCGACCTTCGGCGGGCGGCTTGCGCGCCAATGCCGGCGCAGTCGACCCCGTGTTCCTTCCGGCGCTCCAACGCATCTGCGCTCGGGCATGCATTCTCGACGCCGGCGCTGGTCGCAGAGGCGGGAGCGGGGAGGAGGAGGAGGAGGAGGAGGGGGAGGAGGAGGCGTAGGAGGAGGAGGAGGAGGAGGAGGAGGAGGAGGAGGAGGAGGAGGAGGGGGAGGAGGAGGAGAGGAGGAGGAGGGGAGAGGAGGAGGAGGAGGAGGAGGACGGGAGCGGGGGCCGCGAGGGTTTGCGGCCCCGTCTGCGGCCCCAGGCCCGGCCGGCATCGGCGCGCCCCCCCCCCCCCCGAGGCGCCGACCGCAGCATCCATCTCGCTTCGATTCAGCTTCGATTCAGCTCGGTGCATTGGCCGGCGCACACATGGCGGATTTTGGAAACCCTGATCCCAAAACAGGAGGAGGAGGAGGAGGAGGAGGAGAGGGGGAGGAGGAGGAGGAGAGGAGGAGGAGAGAGGAGGAGGAGGAGGAGAGGAGGAGGAGGAGGAGGAGAAGGAGAAGGAGGGAGGAGGAGGAGGAGGAGGAGGAGGAGGAGGAGGAGGAGGAGGAGGAGGAGGAGGAGGAGGAGGAGGAAGAGGAGGAGGAGGAGGAGGAGGAGGAGGAGGAGGAGGAGGAGGAGAGGGTGTCATCTCTCGGGGGCGCCTGTCTTGCTTCCGCCGCCTTCGGCTGGCGTCCGCCAGCGGAGGCGCCCTCGCTTCACCTCCGCCGACCTTCCGCCGCCCTTCCGCGGCCTTCCGCTTCAGAAGAGATGGCAACTCCTTCTGGTCCTCGAAAGCAAGGCCATGTCTGTAACGCCTCGTATGCTTTCATGCAAACGCAGACCCGTCGGTCGGAAGAAGCACCTGGAACTATGAAGTAGGAAGGCGTTTGAAGTAGATGCGGTTTCCGCCCGCCCCCTGAAAATGAGGGAAGGAGGGAAGCCACTCGACTCTTGACGTAGGAAGGCGGCCAAAATACATTGGGCTCCGGGGAACCAGAAAGACCTACTTTCAACGACCGGCATGTACGCATGCGTGGAAGTACACGCGCACGTGCAAATGTCACTGCTCACGCTTCGCGCATGCGTTACGAGAGCAGCGCGTCACACTACACTGCGTGCGCACAGGCGCCCGCCACCAGACGTGCATCAATCTTGGTTTTGATTATTGCTGTTCGGTGTGCCCGAAGCGGCTTCGAGAACACCCCAAGCATCGCACGCGACGCCAACCATCCGCAAGCCCTGACCCACTCAAGCTTCAGGCACGTACTCCTTCGCCCGTGTGTAGGTGGCTTCCTTGGGAAGCAGGGCGCTGTTCCACTGTGCAATGGAGTCCCTCTGCTGCAGGAAGCGGTCCTTCAGGGACCCAGAGGTCGGCTGCGATTTGCTGTCTACCTCCCGCAGAATCCCCAGCGTGCGGGGGATGACCAGCGGTCCGCTGCTCGATAAAGCGGACCCTGCTGACCCGCCACGACCACCGCGACGTTCATGATCACGAGGAGATCTCGGGTCACCTCCCAGGGAGCGCCGAGGACCACGTCGTCGACCCACCTCATTGCCAGTACTGCCATGGCGCGCTCCATGAGCGTCAGCCCTGGCAGCATCCCGCAAGCTGGCGCACCGTCTCGTCCGAGTGCACGCCCACGAGGAGGTAGTCTCCGAGCTCCGACGCCTGCTCGAGGGCTCGAGCGTGCCCGACGCGAAGCAGGTCGAATGCCCCCCCCCCCATGTACACGACGCGCTTGGCGTCGCCGATGCAGCCCCGCTGCGCCCCGCCGGGCCGCTCGGCGAACTGCGCTGGGTGGTAGCCGGCGCGGGCTCCAGGGGCGGCCCGCCGTCGTGGGTGCCGTGGGGCCCCGCGGCAGGAGCCGACGGTGCGGCGGGGTGCTCTTCAGGGCCGTCGCCGGACGGGCGTTCCAGCAAGCGCTGCAGGATCTGCGTGGTCGAGATGCCCTCCGTCCGCTTCAACATCTGGAAAAGCGGCCCTTCTCGACAGCGTCCGTGTGCATGCCGCCGCCGCTCCTGCAGTACGGGCAGGTCGTCGCCGCGACGGATCCAGTCCACGCCGTCCACGCTGAGCGCATCGGCCATCTTCACCGACATGGACGTGTACGGCAAGGAAGTGGCCACCTCATCGACCCACTTCGTAGCCTGCAGCACCGCAATCCTCTCGTCGTCGTCCATGAGGGGAGGGCCCTTCTGGTGACTTATCGCCTCATCCGAGTGGATACCCGCCACCATTACCACCTTGCTGTAGCCACGCTGTTGAAAGAGACTCTTGGACTGACGGAGGGCGTTGAAATGTCCGATGCGCATAAGATCGAAACAGCCGTTCAGAAAGATGCGAACGGTGCAGGGTTTAGTCGGGCGTGTCCCTCTACAAGGGTAGACGAAAAATGAAAAATACTCCAAAAATGCTCTTAAATGGTCACCAAATACTCAAGAACTAGTCCCCAGACTTTTTTTAACCATTTTTGAATGCTCCCCCTGTAGAGGGACAGGCCCGACTGAAGTGCCGGGGTCCGCGCGATGCCTCGCGACCTCCTCGCGCGGCGGCCGGTGCCACAAGATTACCAGCCTGGAACATGTCCCTATCCCTATGCTGGTCATCTCCTCCTCACGATGCCAATCTTAAGGATTCGCTTCTTTTTTGAGGGCGCATCCCCAAGATTGTCATCGCCTTCTGGTGTGTCAATCTTAGGGATAGGGATAGCTCGAGGCTGGCAAACAGGAACCGCAGCCCCTCGCCGGGGACCTCGACCCACTCCTCCTCCTCCTCCTCCTCCTCCTCCTCTTCCTCCCTCCTTCTAAGAAGCCTTCCCGCCCACCCCAGCCCGATCGCTCGAGGCCGCGCCAGTCGCGGCGGAGCCCGCCGCTGCCGGCCGCGGCGGCCACGAGGCTCCTCCTGCTGCCTCCACCACCCTCAGGTCGGGCCTGTCCCCCTTCAGGGGGATCCTGGATAAAAAATTAGGCATAGCCAACAAGATACCCCAAAATGGTCGAAAAATACTAACAGAAAGTAGTCCCCAGACTATTATGTGACTATTTTGTGATTATTTTGTAACTATTATGTAGCTATTTGTGGACGTTCCTCCTGTAGAGGGACCGGCCCCCGGGGGCGCGGCGGCCAGGAGGCTCCTCCGGCTGCCGCCACCACGCTCAGGTCGGGCCTGCCCCCCTTCAGGGGGATTTTCTGGCCATCGCTCGGACGTCCATGCCCTTGTGTTTTTTTAGGTTTCGTGCGTGGTTTTTTTTGTTCGTCACATGATCAAGGATGCTCCTCGATGGTCCTCGCCGAAGAAAAAATGCACACGTCCGAACGATGCCAAGTTCTGGGCGAACAATTAGAGATAGTCAAACAATACCCCAAAATGATTGAAAAATACTTTCCCCAGACTATTGTGTTACTATTTTAGGGAAGCGAAGAATGACATAAACATAAAAACTCGGAGGTCCGCGCGGATTTCTCGGATCCGCGCTGGACCCCCCTCCCTGGCGCGCGGAGCGCGCCAGGGGAGGCGCGCGAGGCGCCGCCGGGGAGCCCCAGCGCCGATCCGAGAAATCCGCGCGGACCTCCGAGTTGTTATGTTTACGTCACTTGTTCCCCTATATTTTTGCACATCCCTCCTGTAGAGGGACAGGCCCGACTGAACACCACTCCCCCCCCCGCCACCCACCGCCCGCCTCCGGGCCCCAGGCCAGAGCGGACCTGGCCCTCCGGAGGCCCCGCAGCCCACTCTCAGGTCGGGCCTGTCCCCCTTCAGGGGGATTCTGGGCGAAACATCAGAGATAGTCAAAAAATACCCACCCCAGACGGTCCACAAAAATACCCCCAAAATTGCCCCCAGACTGTTACGTGACTCTTTGTGCACAATCCTCCTGTAGGGGGACAGGCCCAACTTGACACCCCTCCCCCCCGCGCCACCCGCCGCCCGCCTCCGGGCCCCGGGCCAGGAGCGGACCTGGCCCTTCCGGCGGCCCCGCGGCCCGAGGGCAGGGGCCTCGAGAGCCGACGCGCACCCCTGCGCAGAGCACTCCAAAGCCAGCTGCGCGCACGCGCGCGCGGACACACACACACGCACGCACACACAC